GAAGATTTTCTGGGTCTTGACTTCTTTCCCCTTATCTCTCAAAAACCAAGCTCTTAGGTCTTGCAAGTTAAACATGGTGCTTTTTGGCGGCAACATTTCATAAACAATAATTCAAATGGAACATTTGTCACCAGTGAACACTTATTAAACACTCACACTATGGAAAACTCCATGTCTTCCACTGCAATAGTAGATAGGAAACATGGCCCTTGATGCTGAAGACATCATGTAAATAGAATCACTTGAGAATAGGTGCAAATGCTTCCTAATTGCCCACTAATTTTATTTTTTTCAAATGGATTTAGGCAAAGGCAAGTCAGTTAAACAGAGCCTTTGGTGACTAGAGAATTCTTGATAACTTTTCATAGTGCTTTTTTGTCATATAGGGATCCCCTAAAAGCACACCTATCCCTCAGATGTTTTCTAATAACAGCATGGGGCCATGAAAAAAGTTTAAGTATTGGAGTCAGACAGATATAGATTTGAATCTCAAGTCTCCCACTTACTTAAGATAGGAGTTTAAGATTAGTTACTTAACCTCTTTGAGCTTTAGCTTCTTCACATATCAAATGGAAATCATTGGCTCTCATTCAATAGGTTTTGTGAGGATCAAATACAATTTTGTGTGTGAGAACTCTGAGCCTCGTGACCAGCACATAGGAGATGACCACATAAATGGTAAGTTTCCTCCCTCCGTAAACCATCATTGGAGCAATTTAGTCTGAATTTTTTCACATGGCCACATTCACTCACTATATTTTTTATGTAATAGGCCTCTATTAACCTTTGGAGATAAACATAAAATAATAAATATTTTATACCTGAAAGGAGCTTGCAACTTAGTGAATTTAATCAAAAGACATGTCACAGTCATTGAAAGTTGGATAAAAACTTTACTCAGAGATGAGTATTCTGCATGCAGTCACTTTCAAAATCTTTTATTGCAATCTTTTCTCCATTGAGACTCTATTGTGATGGCAGAAGTTGTGTAGTATATTTATTTGTTTTCCCACTGAGATTTTTTTTTGAAAAATCTACTGAGTTCTGCCAGAAGAAACTCATGACATGTTGTAAGTTTAATTATGTTCAATTCATTAACACAATTAGAGCTGTGAACAAATTTATTGACACAGCCAGAATCACTTAGTAACAGGCAGTAAGTCATAGATTAAAAAACTCATTCTTGCAGGCCTCTAAACTCTGGAAATGAGAAATGGGGAATTCATCTTTGGTTCCTTAGAACACTTCTAAGGGACTTGACCAGAGGTTGCCACTAATAATTCATTGCAAGAATCGTTCATATTTCAAGAATGGTTCTTATGTCTCTTGCAACATAAATTGAATCCCCTTGAAATACTACATTTCATTTTAACATAATAAGTGACCCAAACAGGGAGATTTGATGAATATAGATTTGGTTTTAGCTTAGATAAGTTGGCCTCTTAAAAACAGGGGACAGAGACTTACTTTTGCTTTCCTAGTGAAGGCCTAAAGGACACTGTAGGTTAAAAAGAATCTAAGATCAATTGCCTTTCCTTTTGGAATACTCCTTTCCAGGTAAATTTCTGTCCTTCCTCCAGGTTGAATTGTACAAACAGCAAGGAATCTTGATGTACGTGTATGAAGCAATGTTCCCAAAGAAAGATGAGTATGAGATAATTTTGTATACATTCCTTTAGATGAGAGTTAATCTTTCTCCACACAAAGAACTTTTAAAGAGGCCTCAATACAGCACTAAGGGTATTTTTGTGTGTTTTGCTATTTTTATTTTTATTTTTTTGTTACTAATAAGTTAATCAAACAAAAAGCTTTTATTTAAATCACATTTGCATTCAGAATTATGTCATTTCCTGAACAATCCTAAACTGACATAATACAGTTGAAAACTCATTGATTCCCAAAGGAAGTTTCAGGCTGACTTTACCTCTTTTCCAAATGTGGGATTATGTCTGATGATAAGAATTGTTAAGGTTTCCAGCTTCTTAAGCAGTCTGTGTGGGTTTGAATCTCATACTCCATCAACTTACTAACTAGACTGACCTTGAGGGTTATTTTTTTTAAGTTTCACTGCTTTAGTTTCTGCATTTATAAAAGTGACCAAAATCATTGTGTGTCTCACAGATATTTTAAGTTTAAATGAGATATGTAAAAAAACCTTAGCATGGCAGACTGGTACTATAAAAGGGTAGTAATTATCATAATCTACCACCTATTATCTATCCTTCTCCCCACCCATATAATTTAAGTTGTCCCTTATCCAAGCTTAATAATGAACCTGTATTTCTTGTGTTACTGAGTTTCCTTTGTTGCTTATCAGATGAATTTTTGCATATACTTGCTATCTTTGCAAAGTAAGAGATTTTTTGATGGAAAAACATCTGTATTTTATTTCCCTTCGAATATAGTCTTATCAATTTTCAGCTGATGTGCAGTGCAGTTTAATAAGTAGAATTACAGATGGTAAGTTAGATACATGACCTTAGAAATTTAGAGATATGACCTGGAAAATGCATCTGACACTCTGTCAAATTCACAACAGAATCTGATAGAAAACATAACAAAATAAAGCACAGGAAGCACCAAAAATGGGTAAGAAGCAAGTTGTTGGCTTCCTTTAGCATGTACTTTTGAGTCTCACAAAATGGTGGATGTGGATGCTTAATGAGGCAAAAATCAGCTGCGGGCTCTACACCAAATACTGTGTGGAACCCAGCTGAAGCTCAGTGGTGAAAGGTAAAGACGAGTAAAGAGAAAGTGCCTTATGCCGGGGATGTGGCTCAAGCGGTAGCTCACTCACCTGGCATGCGTGCGGCCCAGGTTCGATCCTCAGCACCGCATACAAACAAAGATGTTGTATCCGCCAAAAACTAAAAAATAAAATAAATACTAAAAATTCTCTCTCTCTTTTTTAAAAAAAAAGAAAGAAAATGCCTGTACTTCAGGAGCAGATAGGTGCCATCATATTAGAGAAAATTCAAGGGGGATCAATAAAAATGATTAAGGGACTCACAGAATTGATTTTTGAGAAAAGATGAAGAAAAATAAATGTGCAGCTTGACATATATCTAAGGAGAGCTATGATAACTGGGTGGTCAAACTAGGGATGTAAGACAGTACTGAGAGGGCACTGGGAATGCAGAGACAAGTACCCTAACAAGGGACCCACCAATCCAGCTCCCCCAAGAAGTGGTGGAAATCTGTATTGACAACTCGAGTGGATACATGCTTCTTGACTTGGGTGGCAGGCTGTAAAAGTTGATAAGACTGCCACATATGTCTTTTATTAAATGTGATTTTATTAATTCCTGGAACAAGAAGATAGATGATGGGAGAGTTACAACTTTAACCAAGCTCCTATTTTCTGATTTGTGATACTATAGGAGTAAATTAACCTATTTCAGACCACATAATTAACATTAAAGATTTAGGAATAACTGTAGCATCCAATTTGTTTACCTTTCTGTCCTTAAAATAAATATATAACACCGTGTATGTATGTATAAATACATCTGTATTATAAATATCAACATACAAAACAAATATGTGCGTATTTGCAAAACACATATGCAAAACAAATATGTGCAATTTGTGTATACATATATGCATGTGTGTGTGTGTGTTGCAATGTGTGTATTTAGTGATGTATCACCATTTCCAAATTGGATTGGATGATGATGGAGCTCGTTAGTGAATCACCTCTGTCCTTTGTTCTGGCAGTTTCCAGAAATGGCTCCTAAGCCAAGTATGAATCATCTTTTTCTGGCACTGGAAAAGCCATTTTCAGAAGAACCACACTGCAGGGTCATTATTCTTAAGGCTGCATTATAGGGCATCAGAGGAAATGACATAATCCAACTCAATTCACAGAGTGGCAAGTGGAGGAAGCTTAAGGCTACATCATACCATCTATATATTCTCTTACCAAAGTCACAAAACTTCTTAATATAGTCCCTTAGGGAGGAAATCTCTCTAAGGATAAATGGGGGGAAATGGTCAGAGACAGGCCCTTCTGATGTAAAGCTTCCTTCATATATTTATTGGTATAATGAATGTATATAGTAATATACATAGAATACTATAGCACACCTTTATTTATATTACAAAAAAATAAACTCAATGTCTAGCTGCCATTTTTCATACTTTCCACACAATGTATGAGACCCTTTAATAGCCATAATAATAATAAAGTGTGTAGAGGATAAAATGACTGTGAAAAAGTGTCAGGGAAAAATGTTGACCTATGTATTTTTGACGATGTGGCCTCACATTCATTGTACGGCATTACTTAGATTTACTTCCCACATTATTGAAAGGATGTAGGGGGTTAATGTGCCACCTTTTCTCTGCTCGAGGACTGAAAGAAAATTTGATTTTCCTCTCAAGTGAACTGTGTGTTGGACTCCACTGAACAGTTTTCCCAACAGGCCTCTTAGTGTTATCCCTTGAAGAGGGCTTAGTCCCACTCCGCAAGGAAGAAGATTGGAGTAAGTGGCCATGTTATTATTGGTGCATGTGCCATACATATAAAAGCCAAAATTTAGCCCTGGATGTGCTCATGTCATTCTACAAAGATTTTCTATCACATTTTTTGCTATTCCTTCAAGTGATGTTATCATTGAATTACTCTGCTATGAAAATTCCTGCCTGCAATAGCAAAACAAAGCCTATGATTGAAGATATTTCACACTCTGGGAGATGAGTACACAGATTATTCTGTAAATAAACAATGTGGAGGGCAGGTCAGAGGCAACCAAAACAATAAACAAATAAATAACAAAATATATATATATATATATATATATATATATGTGTGTGTGTGTGTGTGTGTGTGTGTGCGCGTGTGTGTGTGTGCGTGCGCATACATATATATGTATACATATATAAAAGACTGTGTATGTATATATATCATATATATATATATGTATACATATGTGTGTGGGTATATGACCGTAATATACAGACCATTTTTTCAAAAATCTGTTTTGAACTGTCTTTTTCTGACTCTTAAAAATTAAAGTACCATGATCATGAAGGTGGTTTACCCAGTGCAAGGCTTATCCATGGCACTTTGGATGTGCTGACTCCTGTGATTTCCTCAAATGTTTCCTCAACTGCATAATTTGTGGTAGTGGGGGACTGAGTTTGCGCTTTCCCAAAATTAAAAAAAAAAATTGTGTTAAAAGGACAATTAAATGGGAATGTGACTGAGATTTTAGACAAAGATGGAAACTTTTTATGGCGGGTGGCTAAGATCCTGCCTCACAACTCTTCTAAATCTCTCACTCACATCAGTGTATAAAAGGACAGGGTATAGTAGTAGATCACAGGAGGATTGGCGGGAAGATTTCAGGAAAATTATTGGTGTGCTGTGTGTACCACCCTATCAGAGAAAGAGGATTCTTCTTTCACCTCAAGGTAAGAAAGAAGGACTTTAAAAGACAATTTGTAGAAATTATTCAATAACTTACACAGTGTTGGGTCACAGCAGGATATCTTGTGAGTCATTCCTGAAAAACAGAGTGACAGGCTGATTAAGAAGGCTCATGGTGGCAAAATAGAGGGCTGAGGTTTGACAGTCAATGTACTCCCAGAAATTTTCAGTGCAAACAACATGTGAGTATTTTCTGTGAATCAAATAAGGATCCCTTACGATAGGAAGGGGATTTTTATAAATCTTACACTGGAAAACCATCTGACAGGACAAGACCTCAAGAAAAACAAACTAGAGGTAGCCCCTCAAATGGCTATGGGCTGGCTATAAGAGTCACAGAAAATTGGCTACAATAGGGATAAATTCAAGGGTACTTCAGGGATATTCTATGATATAAAGTTGCTAAAGAAAAATAAATGCAAGATCCCAAGAGAGAAAGAGCCACCAGAAGCATTTTCCCAGTCCAAGAGCACTAAGCTACATTACCCAACAGTTCCACTCAGGTGGGAACTTTCCTGTTCTCCTTCCTTTCCTTCTATTTAAGAACAGGGAGATTGGATATTGGAGCTAGCAAGACACAGGAGAAGGAGAAAAAGAGCCAGGGGAGGAGAGAAAGAAGAAACCTAGAGAAGATCCAATACTGGGAAGGGGAGAGATCTCAATTCTAAGTTTTAATCGTTATGTACAATAAAATACTTTATTGAAATGAGAGCATGTTTGGTGGGCTGAAAGTGATTAAAATAATTTTTAGTATCCATGCATGACTACAGAGCCTGAGACCTAAATACATTCTCACTCAAGGGCAGAAAATCTGGATCAATAGAAAACACTTTCAAGGAGAGGATGAATACATCTTTCCCAAGAAGTCATGGAAAAAATCTTGCCATTGGAAGTGCTATTGACTTGTTCCCCATTCCATTATATCTGTCACTATAAGATGTTCTAGAGTTATCTTGTATTTTTCTGGCACGAGCCTACAATCAGCTCTCTCTCCAAGGAACTCTGAATTCTTTTATTTAAAAATGATACTTAGAAACCAAGATCTGATACTGGGCCTGCTCATTGGTACTCAGAATCAGTGCCTCTAGGCTATCTCAGGAGATAGGGTTAGATTACATAATTGCTAACCTATATGTAAACACATATCCATATCTGCTTATGTATTTAATAATTTTTATATATGTTAAAATAGATCATGCTGATATCTTCAAGTTTAAACCACTACCAGAATAATTATCACAGTTTGCCCCTGCCACCTACATATTTATAACTTGTTTCTCTAACGTAAACAAGTTTGGCTTCCATTGTCTAAATTTTTTTTTTTACTTATCTGTTTGACTCTGGTCTACATGCAAATTAGTTTCAGAATTGCCATCTCTTGACAATCACATATATATTTTTCATCCACGTAGTTTTCCTGTTTCCACAATAAATGTAAATGAAATTAATTATACACTATGTAGCTTTTTACTTCCACCTTTCACTTAGCAAAATACATTTAAAATTTTTCCACGTCATTTTATGAACTGATAAGTTCATCCTTTCAAAATTTGTTTTTGCTAAATAGTATTCCATTATATGGATATGCCATCTATTCAACTCTGGAAAAACATCTTGGTTGTTTTAGTAGTTATGAATAGATACATTTGTGTGGAGATATTTGTTTTTAATTTATTTGGGTGAATACCTAGGAGTGGGATTGTTGAATTGTATGTCAAGTGTATACTTAAACTGGGTAAGAAAATGTTAAACTGTATATCAAAGTGGCTGTGTCATTTGCATCTCCATCAAGAGTGAATGAGAGTCCCTTTTGCTCTGCATCTTTGTCAACATCTGTCATGTTTTATGATTTTAATGATATTAAACCAGATTCAAACCTGGTTCAATCAACCCCAAAGTGGTTGTTTCTCACACTACCCTCTATCGTCTCTGGTCAGCTCTACATGAGATTCGAGAAGGTAGGGCTTCACTTATCTCAACTTCAGCTAGAAGGTACACATGAAGCAGCTCAAGTTTTTCTTAACTCTGAACATGATCTATGAATGAGGCAAAAGTGCCAGGGGGATTGACTTTGGGGTTGCAAATAAATTTTAGTGAGTACACAATTACTGAATTATGAGGACAGATTGCACTTTAAAAATTTTGGAAACCAACTCAATCACAGGATGCTATTAAGTACTTAGAGTTTTTCCTTGAATAAGGAAGATAAAAGGGGTGTAGTTTTTATCATTGAGCCTGCTTAAATAAAATTACATAAGAAAAGGCATTCAAGTTTATATGCATGTAATCATAAAATATGACATTCAAGGAAGAGGCATATGATTGAAGTTTAAATAGCTTTCTAAGGTAAAGAAAAGAATATGAGCTTGGGATTCTGAGGAGAAGTGGCAACACGCTATGGAAGGATAAACAAAGGCTGTCTTGCTACCTGAGAAATATTTTCAGGTAACATTTATCAGAAGAATAGATGTTTACTTGTGACAAAGTCTGTCTGAATAAGGTAAAAGTATCAGGCCTTACACCTCCTTTTTCTGTGAACTATTGTTTTCTGTTTAATGAGATACCAGGGAGAGACCTATGACAACTACATTCCTACTGAAGGAAAATCCCTTAGTTAGATATGGAAACTTAAAAAATAAAATAAAATCCCCTTTCTGAGCTTTGGGAGAGGAAGACAAGAAAATGTGTGGGGGAGACGGTCTGAGACCTTGGTTCTGTGACTGCTTCTTTAATGTTCTCAGCTTGTCAAAGTACCATACTTTGGAGTATCTCTCCCTAAGCCCTAATAGAGTCAAAAGTGTCTACACATACACACACACACACATGCACACACACACACACACACACACATCTTGCTGTCCATGGCGCTTTGCCTTTTGTTAATCCATATATATTATAATATGTACATTCTAAATAATGAAAAAGTAGAGTTCACTATATTGCACTCAATATGATACCAATATGAATCTGTTAGGGCAGCCTCTATCTGATGGGTGTCTGGTCCAATGAAACAAGCTCCTATCTTGGAAGGTTCTCTTGGAAGAATATTGCAAGTACCCACTACTGCTTGCCTCTGCAGTCAGTCAGTCTCATGGTTGAAGGAGTTGCCACAGCAGTGTTCCAGCTGTCAGATGTCACCCCTTGACTTTTAGAGCTAGTATGTCCCAGATCTGTTATTTTTCTTAAAGCACAAGAACTACATCCATTAATAGCGGAGGGACTGGGGATGACTCGGATTCACAGAAGCTGATTGATGGAGCATGGTGCATCCCTTAATTAAGCAGAAGCTACTAATAAAAATGAACTTACTGGATGATTTGTGGGGTCCAAGTCACAGCCATATGTGTCTCAAAGCAATAGAAAACAGGAGTTAACACTTGGCTGATACAAGCCAATACTAGAGATCAGCATTTCTTTGTAAAGTGGGGAGAACTTTGGCCTCTTTTGGTTTTGCAGAATGAAAACTGACAGCACAAACAAGTTGTTTGTCTTATTTATTCTTCTCTGGCTTAGCTGCTTTCTGATTTGTTCTCTCTCACCAGGACCCATTGATCTAAGTGGAGATTTCTGTAGTTCCCCCAGGTCTATTTATGTTGTTGTTGTTGTGGTTATTTAATTGTCAACTAATATATTTCATGGAAAGGGCACTCTATTTGTCCTGAGAAAATTATCGTTCTGGAGAAATACTACAGTGTGGTCAGATTACGTTAGCCTTCTCAAGGAACATCTCCAATCTCATTTCCTCTATGACAACACCATAATGGGATGAAAACTCAACAGAGACACTTGTTCTTTGGCTAACACCCTGGCTGATACTAGCACACAGTGCTAACGTCTGATGTTTGCCTTCTGAATTGAAGTATTTTTACTTTCTCTGTTGTTATGTAGACACACGATTCTCCCTTTTCTTGCATTAGTTATCTACAGGGAGATCTTAGACACTAGGGCCATCTACATTCTTGGAGAGCCTTTCTTGACTCCCTACATCATATTCCAACCCTTCTCTAATACCTCTCCCTTCTACTTTAGCACTAATAAGCATTCTTTATAAGCATTTACTTATGATTTATTACTTACTCTCCATATACTGTTGAATTCTCCTTTATGAGCCTAAAATGTAGGCTCTGTGAGATCAGGAAGTTGGGTTTACTTTTGTCTCTACTATGTCCGTAGCTTGTAAAACAGTGCCCAGCATAGAAAGGACTCAGTAAATATTAATTGAAAGTAATAAATAAATCATCTTTCCTAGAGTAATTTTCCAAAGGCAGGAGATATATCTATTTAGCTCACATTATACAAGCCCTTGCAATAAATGGACATCTATTTAAAAATATCTCAATGCTAAATAAAAAGATGTGACTTTCATTTGCAGTAGATGCTAAATATTTAGAATAGCATGGCTGCTTCTATTTCTAGTGTCAGAAAGTACAGCCATCATGTTTTGCTTTTTCTATCCCAATCCTTTTTTCACAGTGAAATCTTCTGTAAAGCTCTGTCTGTACTGACTCTCAGACAAAAAGGTACATGGAAATCAAAGTCCGTCAATTTTTCTTTTTTTCAACCTAAAGATCAGGTTACCATCTGGCCACCAGAACATTTAGTGTCTGGATCAAGTGTTGAGCCTGAGATAATGTCAACATCATTTGGTATAAACTTTTTTTGTATATTGTTGGCTAACAAACAATACATATTCATAAATGTTGATAAGCTGGTAGGCCTGACATGC